GGGAAGGTGGGGGGAACTGCCAATCAAATGTGTCGGTATACACAATTCGAATACATATGTATATACATATATATATATATATGTCATATATATATATATGTATATACACACATCTGGGCTTGTCTAAACATGTTTGAACTGCTTGTACTGTGCTGCTTTGATGTTTCACCAATTGCCCCAAAACCAGCATGCCCCTCTGGTTCGCATGTTTTTGCTCGGATAGTTGGAGACCACGTTTGGACTATCCCAAACAACAAGAAAACGAGGGGAAGGGCATCGTCTCCTGCCCAGCACCTGGGATTCGAATGTTGATCCTGATTCGTGGCCACTCAAAGTGCCGCGGCATTGATTGTCTGCTGGACAAATTGGCTAAATGAAAGCGGATTCCATCTCTTTGCCACCAAGCTGGCCCTTGAGTGCTGCAATCTGTTGGTCTTGGTATCAGGAGCCAACCAGCAAATTGCAGCAACTAACACGTTTAGTTGGGAACCACGTTTGGATACACCGAGCAAAAAGAAAACATCTGGAAGTCACCAAAACACCGGCCGGGGACATCATCACCAAACGCATCCTGGTCGCAGCACTTCAGGTACCGCTTCTGCAAGGGGGGCGACAGCTTGGATAAAGCGAATGCCACTTGGCACTGACAGGTGTCGCACGCCTGGTCGTAGCTTTCTGGGTCCCCGTCGCACCGGTCCTCCCAAAACAAAAAGAACATCTATATACGTATACTGTACACATATATATATATATATATATATACATATGTGTCGGCAAAGACTACACACACACACCCACCAACCCACCCACCCACCCACCCACCCACCCACGCACGAACGCACGCGCACGCGCAGGCGCAGGCGCAGGCGCAGGCACACACGCACTCTGACACGCACACGCACACGCGCACACAAGCGCATACACGCACACGCACACGCACACGGACACGAGCACGCACACGCACGCACCCGGACCCGCAGACAAGCAAGCACACGCAAATGCAAACGCAAATGAACCTGGACCCGCACAAGCAGACGGCACGCACGTGGGCACGGGCGACCGGACGAACGGGCGACGCATGCACGCAAGAATGGACGGCCGGACGGACGCATGCACGCAAGGGCACGCACCCACGCATGCGCCCACGCACATACACCCACACCCATAGACACACAGCAACACAGATACACATGCACACAGACGTACACACACACACATGCAAACTATTTATACATAAGCGCGCACACACACACACAAGCACATACTCTAATGCAAGCACAAGTACAAAAAGCACCCTTCCTCCCAAGAACAGCTCAACCATGCAAGCGCACATGTGCGCAAACACACACACACACAGAGCTTGAGGGCTCTCTCCCGGTCCTGCATAATCTCCCAGCATTTCTCCGGCACCTGTGTCAAGATCGGGGGGACCCCACAGATGGGTGGGGCTTTCCTCCCTGCTTCCCTGAAAACGTCTGGGTGAAACTGACGTGACCTGGCCTCGTCGTGCAGCGTCTCATTGATTTCCTCGGTGCTCTTCTGCGCGCAGGACCAGGCTTCAGAGAAGACTTCCTACGGGTTGGTTCCGCGGGGTCGCTTGACCCTTAAAATGAGGGGGTTGGGGGTGTCTTAAAACAAAAGCAGCAAGCACAAAATCTGTATGCTCTGTTGGTTTCTCCCTTGCGGTCAAAAATACAAGGTACCTCAAAAAAACATGACACAGCCGGTTGCCTCAAAAGAGAGTCGAAAGATTGTACAACCAGGTGCCTAGTTCTTCTGCAGGTTGTGTGTTCCTGCCGGCTTGGGGCAACAAAAACAACAAATGGAATCACCCGGGATGTTGGGACCCAAATGGCTGGCGTTGTTTTGGAGGGAACCCCGCCGAAAGAATGCCACCCATTTTCGGGGTCCTCCCCAGGCAAATGGGTTGTGTTCCTTTTGGCCCCCTTTAAAACGAGTAAAGGGTACCTTCAAAAAAAGACAACCCCACATGGATGTTTCTCGTCTTGAGGGTACTCATTTTGGGGCTAGTTTGAAGGGAAGCCAAAGTAGAGGTAATTAATTGCCTATTTTGGGGGGTACCTGTATTGTGAGACAAACCCACATGGGCCCACAAAGATTCATCCTTGTGGTGCTCGACAAACGTTTGCAGGGGAATGACCGCCGCCAGCAGGGACACACCCACCTGAGCGTGGCAAACGAAAGGACAAAAACGGCCCAAACAGTGTGGAGCCCACTACAGTGGTGCTGCACACGGAGTCTTGCCGTGAGAGAAAAGGAGTTTGGATTGGGATTCGCATTCACGCACACGCCGCTTTGACTGCGGCGGGCACAAGAGTTGCTGCCAAAATCTGGGAAGAACCACCGTTTTCTTGGTAGAGCCTTCTTTGGTTGGGAGAACCCACGGTTTTCGGCGGGAGCCTTTTTTGGCCGGCAGAACTGCCCGCTTTTTTTGGGGGAACCCCTTTTGGTTGGCAGAACTTCTCGTTTTTTGGGGGAGCCTTGTTTTGATTGGCACGCGTTGACTCCCGTTGCGGCAAAGTTTCGCACTCGACTGGTGTTTTGCCTGTTCTCAAAGGGTAGACGCCAATCAAATACCCTCCCTTCCACGAACATGGCCCTCGACATGGGGGTCCGCCCAAGAGGAAGTTGATCTTCCAGGTACGCTCCCACAGCTGCTATGGTGGGAGAGAGGGTATTTTGCTTAAAGGGTAGACCAAAAGGGAAGGGTCCAAATTTTCCTATTTTGACGAGCCATTTGGGTATGGCTCGTCAAAAACCCGGGCTTTAAGCCCCGAGGGCTCCATTTGACTCCGCGGCACCGCCATCGACATCATCGCCGTCAGCACCGACCCGCAGAAGAAGCCACAAAGACACCCCCCGAAGGCACAGCAGCCGCGGCCGCATCTGCAACACGCCTCAGCTTTTTTCTCGTTGTCTTGCATTTGCTTAAGCCCCCAGGGAAATTATGAGAAAACATGTCCAGTGGTGATAGATTCCCCTTAAAACCAACAGGGGAAAATAACAAGTATGCTTAAGCAAATGCAAGTTGTTGGAAGTGGTTTGGAGGTGTCGCGGGGGTGGATTCCCATTGACCCTCAAGAACCATGGGTTCAATTCCGAGTCTAAATCACTAATCTAAACAACCAGCAACACCTTAGGCGTGGTTGGGTGCGTGTCAATACCACAAAACATAAAAAGTATGTAGCTTCAATTGTGCGGTGTGCGTTTCTTTTGAAACAACCCAACAAAACGCCCTGAACAATGAGACACCCCACTTGTTGCTAGTTGGAAGGAAATCGGTCCTTCTCCACCAGGTTCAAAGGGCGCAAGGGCTCAACACTTACTTTGAAGTTTCGGACGGCAAAAGAAAAGCTGGCTTTGGTTGAATGGGCTGGCTGCTGATGTGTTGTGCTAGTTGTTGATTTTCCGAAAGGTCAATGTGGGCTCAACAATGACACGCAAGATTGCTCCATGGTCCCGTCCATATTTGGCTTTGCACCTGCAAGCCCATTGAAACCCTGACGCAAGGCATGTTTCAGGGACGCCCATCACTCCCAATCGGCGAGCTCGCAGTATACACTCCCTATATTCCAGCTTTAAGAACATCGTCCAAAAGAGAACTCACTGAAAACCAGACCCAAACGATGATCTTTAAACCCACCTCGGGGGGCAATAGAGGGAGACCCTAATACTAAGAAGATGACTCACTGAAAACAAGACCCCAGAAGGTGATCTCTACGGGGACAAACCATTGGCAAACCCTAAGGGGGACATATAAAAAATCCCTGGTGATAGATGTTCTCAGGGGGAAACCATTGGGAACCCTCATACTAAGAAGATGACTCACTGAAAACATGGTCCCAAAAAACATAACATTTAAAGCCACCTCAAGAACCTAAGGTTTAAACATCACCTCAGAGGGAAATATCAGGAATCCCAAAGCCGGCCAAGGCACCATGGCCACTTCGAGGGTGTCGTCTCTCGAGGCTCAAGGCACGGCTGCGCCGGATGGCTCTCGCGCGCGTTTCAAGGATCGAAATGGGCGCGTGGCTTAGGGGCCCTGTGCAGCTTGGTTTCAAGGGACACCACAAAACAAAAAAACGATTTTGGGGGTCCCATGGGTCCCACTGTTTGCTACAAACCCAAATGTGTGTGCGTGTGCGTCAAAATAAGGATCCACAAATGGGCAGTTTCTCTGTAGCTTCGGTCCACACCAACCTGAAAGGGGTACCCGCACACCCAAATTTGGTCCATTGCACAAGGGAAACCAAAGGGAACTCGATGCCAAGGTTCTACCCCTTGAGCTTGGATCATCTTGCGAATGTCGTGAGGGTACACCTCCAACTTGCACCCCAAGTCACTGGAGAACCATGCCCGCTAGTTTCCAATTAGCTATACAATAACATGTACTTATGACATGTCGTACATGGTTTGGCGGCATTAGGGCTACACTCTCAGGGGTAACATGACGCCAGGACCTGGAATCATGAGCTTTCAAAAGAAGTATGAAGCCCAGATAGTGGGGCGGGGAGAAGGTCCTCAGAAACAACTGAGGAGGTTGTCCCATATTCCTTTGCCCGGGTTTGGGTCCTTGGGCCGCCCTTGCGCGGCACTTGCGCGGACTTGCGCGAGCGCTCAGCAACGCAGAAATGAGTTTTCGTGCGACCTCAGTATGTAAAATGTTCGTGTGGTTTGCGCGAGCCATTCAGGAAGCAAAGGCATTCGAAGTATTCAGGGCAAGGAAAGTGCATGTGGCGGATGCATTGCTTGAACCGGGCCGCTAAGGACATCTGAAGCAGCAAAATTAACGGTTGATAGATGCCTTGCTGGGGGCTTCTCGTACTTGCGCGCTGCTTGCGCGATCCTTGTCGTGTCCGCATAGCTTTTGGCAACTTTTACTTCTCCCGTTCTGCGGCACTTAAGTCCGAAGACTGGGGTTTTAGGACGACTAGCTCTAGGAAAAAAACGGAGAAGCTCAGTGGTCATCGATCCCCTGCCTGCCGATCCTCCAGGCGTTCCTTGCGAGCCCGCTCCGCGCTCAATTCCTGCGCTGTGGCAGGGTGGTTTGCGTGCATCATGGTGCTCGAAGGACCCAGCAGTCTGAGACGAACCCAAACGTGGCGTGGTCTTAGTACACACCCTTGTACTTGCAATTGTTGTCTGCAGGCGCATGAAGGAGCGGATGACAAGCCCAAAATGGAGGGTGCTGTGACCAAGCCACATGTCGTCTGAATAGCACCAACCCGCTTTTGGGGTTACCACTTTCTTTCTTCTTTTTCTATGACCAGAAACCGCACAAATTCGATTCGGTCACTCCGGTTGCGACCCACCCCAAACCTCAGGTCTCCTGCTGCAGACGCTCCACCTCCTTCTGCCCGCCTTCCGCGCGCTTCTGGGCCTCCGCGACAGACAGCTCTAGGCCTGGCCGAAAGGGAAGGCTTGGGCCAGGGCTCCGAAAACATGTCCGCCCAGGATTACCCTCCCACCCGTTTCACATGGAAGACTGTGACATCTGGAACCCGGTCCCTTTAAAAGGAAATTGTCCAAAGCAGTGTAAAAAAAGCACTTGTATTAGACAGGTCCCCGAGTCTGTCAGTTCCATCTGACTTTTGGAGAGAAAACCTGCTGGACCTTCTCGCGAGGAGAGGTACTACTCCAATGTCAATATATATGGGTTTGCCTTGGTTGCTGTTGACCCCTCTGCGAGTTTGACTTGTTGTGGATATGGAAAGTTCCTAAAGTTTCAACCAAAAAGTTGTTCAGTCCAAAGGTCCCTTTCCAAATAGCCATAAAGGTGTCTTCTTTGAGGCTCCCTCTGTTGGAATTGGCAAAGAACTCAGAAGGGAACAACAATTCACCCATTTCGGAAGGTCCCCGATTTTGACATGCTCACATTTAGAGGGAAATTAATGGGGTGAGCGGCAAATGGGGTGAGGCCCAAGGACGAAAACGACAAGAAAACACCGCAAACACCCGTGTTTCCCCGGAAAAGCACTTTCTTTCCTTCCGGCGCTGAAGGTAACTGTCCCGCAAGTTTCGGGCGGAAATTTGAACATCACCGTTTGGTCAATCTAAGGTGAGTCTCCTTGGGTGATGTCTAAAGTGGAAATATGTTGGACGCCCCGTCAAACCACCTCTGGTAGTTGTTTAAGCATGTTCATTCCTCCATGTGCTTGCGTCTCCTAAGCTTCAGGTTTAAAGACGCCGACTTGGGGCGTTTAGAAGGAAATGCAGAGACAACCAACCATTACAAAGCCTGCAACATGAAAGACTTGCAAAACCTGATGCCAGTTCCCTAACAAAAACGACCAACCAACGGATGAGCTCATTCTAGCCCGCAGGCTTGAGCCATTTTCTCTTTGGGCTAGGAGCGTGCTTGGGCTTGCTCTTTCTGATGTCCTTTCCCAAACAATCCATTTAGGTAATATATACTCCAACACTTCACCCATTCTGAGGGGAATTGTGGGCACATAGTACCTACATGGATTATCTGCCTCACTTCCTGAAGCGGATTGGCAAAAACAGTTCAACTCTCTACTTATCACTAAAACGGTCCAAACCGAAAACGCGACTAAAGTCCATGAACTCGATGGAAGGGATTCAAACCCCAAAACGGGTGGCCTCGAAAACAAGTTCCTGGCCCAGGCGCGTGCGGCTTCCTCTTGGGCCTGGCGCAGTGTCTCCTGCGCTGTCTCGAGCCTGGTCCGCACTCACGGCAGTTTTCGGGGGAGGGGGGGACCCAGCATTGCACGGCACCGGACATGGGACACCTACTGTGGATGGAGGAAATCCGTTCGAACCACCGAATGAAACCATGGTTGAAACTATTGTTTCTTGGTATTTGCAGGGGAATCATCCTTCCAGGGTCTCTCAGGCGGTGCAGGATTTCGTCCATCCATAATAGCCCTTCCCCCCGCCCCGCCCCCCAAAACAAAAACACAAAAAAAAGCCTGCAAGAAGGGGTCTTCGAAGCTTCTTGGGGAGTAGAAGGGTTCTGAGAATCTGGAGGGGACCCAAAATCTTTCTGAAGCTGGGAAGGGCAAGCATATTTTTTTTACGGGGGGTGGTGTCTTCCCTCCTGGTGGATTCTGAGGAAAACTCCGGGGCAAGGGGCGCATTTGGATTTGGGCCCCCCTCTTCTTTGAAAAACAAATCTGGAGAGATTCTGGCGCAAGTAAACCAACAGCCACAAGCCATGAAAACATCGCCAACGGTATCGCTGCATGCGCGTCACAGTGAGTTCACAAAAGAACATGAGGACGCCAGACTTTGCACATGTTTCTTCAACAAGATCGCAGGCTCGGCTTCGTCGATGCGAACGTCGGAAACCGCCCGCGAGTGCAATCCTATCGCAACTGCCCACAACAACCGGCAAGTTCAAAGTTAGCGTATCTTTGCACGGCGGGTTCGAGGCAGCCTAGCTGCTCATCGATGAGTGATCATGAAACGTATGGCAGTATGGGGAGAAAAGCATGGGTGTCTGTTATACGAAGGACTCCTCGTAAATTGTAAAGTCAACCGATCTTGGCAGAGACATGCTTGCATAAAGGCAAATCAAACTTCCACGCCCATTTCAGCAGCTGGACACACTGGCGGCTGGCTGCTGCAATCTGACGCAATGCGACAATTTCAGCTTTCCCGCCTGGAGTCGCCAAGACAACTGTTTCCTAAATAGGAAGTCTGGAAATAACATCCATCCTCCTTTGGTGTCTCCCAGGGGAAACGCCGGGCACAAGGCACTGTACAACGATCCCCCCTTGAAATCCGCTGTCGGGTTCTCCCGCTGGAATGACCCAGTGTGAATGAACCCTGTTTTCCTTAAAGGAAACCACTAGATAGCTTGTGTTTTCCTTTCTTTCTTTTTTTTCTCCGTATGTATAAAAATACAACTTGGGGTCATTCCAACGCATTCATGCCCTGCCTATCGAAGCAGCAAGTTCTTTTAGCCAGGCCGCTGGTTGCTGCCCGATGTGCCCTGCAGCTCCTCCAGTTCTTCCCGCAATCTCTGCACCGCGCTCTCCAAGGCACAGGCCTCACTGGAGGTGATTCTTGGGCTCGTCTCCAAATGGGGGGGAACCCAAGATGGCCGTGTTTTTTTTTTTTTTTTTTTTTTCTCTTTTCCTTCCCTTTGAATCGAAAGAACTAAACATGTCCCCCTCATGGCCCTCATGTTTGGGGAAAACTTACTTATTCGGGAGTACAAGAGTCGAGCCAGAATGCAAGATTGAAACATAAGCTGGTCAATGCAGGCGCTTTCTATGAGTGTGCGGTTTGGCGTTTGTGGTTGGGTGGGTGGATGTGGGTGGGTGGGTGTGGGTGGGTGGGTGTGGGTGGGTGTGGGTGGGTGTGGGTGGGTGGGTGGGGGTGGGAATGGCTGGGTGGGCGTGTGGGTGTAGGTGTGGGTGTGGAGGGGGGGGTCAAGGGGAAGCACCAAGAAACCTGGGTGTCGGTGGTCAACGTTGAGGCTTCTTTCTCAGCCTTGAAAGAGCTCTTGGCTAAAACGATCGTTCACCTCCCAGATCCCAGTGGTCATGGGAAGAAAACTGCATCCTTTTCTGGTTGGTTGAGTTCAAAGGGCAAAAAGGGCAACTGGGTTCTGCATGAAAGCAAGGACCCCGCGACAAAAGCTATCCTTCCACATGGGCGTGCATCTTCCAAATTGGACACCTGTGCACTTTCCCTTCAGCTTTGAACCTCAAAGCAACGATTTGCCGATTTGCTCAGTCTTCCTCCTTCATTTTTTGGGGGGTTGAAGCACTGTTTATGGGGCCTCCCGGCCGGTCGCCCCGGCGCCGTGGGCCCCATAAACCCCATGGCCCTCATGGGCCTGGCCGAGCAGGTGCTCGCCCCCCCCAAATTTGGTGGATGCCCATGTTGACTTGCAAACCGATTTCTAGCCCAGCGCGCCTTCTGGGCCTGGGTAGTGAGCTCGATCTCCAAGGCCTCGTGCTTTTGCTGCAAGGACTCCTGGGTGGACCTGAAGCGAATCCCAACAAATCTGCTTCGCCTGCAATTCACCAAGCTGAGACCAAGAACTCACCCTGAGTTAGACTTTGACCGGCCTGAAACCGACAACATGTTTTGGGCGCTAGTTCGAACTCTACATAAGAAATGGAGCCCAATTTCAAACCTTCACGGGCGATTGCCGTGAGGTCGCCATATTGTGCCCAGGTTGTTCGCTGTCCCCTCTGAAAGGCACTTGTGCGCGGCAACCAAAATAAGTTTTGTTCGCGCAAACATGGCGTCACAACTTACACAACACAAGAAACTTCAGGAAGTGGAATTGTTCAGCAGTTCAACCCAACCACCACATCATCATCATCATCATCATCATCATCATCATCATCATCATCATCATCATCATCATCATCATCATCATCATCATGAGGAGAAGACGCAACAACACACAATACTATGTGAATATGAACATGAATATGAAGCTGAATATGATGATGACCACAATGACTACGACGAAGATGATGGAGATGACGATGACGACGATGATGATGAGGATGTAGGAGGATCAGGACGACGACAACAATTAGTATGATGCATTTTCACCAGTATGACTCGATCCTGCATCAGCAGCATTTAGACAACCCATGCAACACTGATGATACTGATGCAACTCATAATGCAACAATGAACCACTGCGAAGCTCGAAGCTCGAGTCTCCAGGAAGCCTGACACAGGCAAGCAGGGCAAACATTTCTTTGACCAGGGCCCCGCGACCTTGCAAAATCGCACAGGCCATAAAACAAAACAAACACTTCTCATCACTTCTCGCAGTTCCTGTGCCAACGTCTCCCATCAGTCGAGGCGCCGCATCTCCGGCAGTTGGTGGCGGCAGTCTTTGAGCCTCCCCACCTAGTCGGCCGGAAAAAGCAGCTCTCCTTGAAACTATGCGCACCTAAACGCGCGCGTACAGAGGTACAGAAAGTGGCCAATTCAAGCAACATCTTCCACAACCATGCACCTGAATGCCAGTGATGAGCTTCGCTCTGCAGGTGAGCACATCCCTCAGCTCCTGTCAGTTTCCCCTTTGGCCCAATTTTTCATGGCTTTGCACAACACAAGGGTTGTAGGGCACACGCCCAACATGTTGAGAATGTTCAATAGTGTCGACCCTTCTAACCATCCTCATGTCCCTTCAGTTTGACGTGTCTTCCCCCCTGACCGAAAAACAGACCTCCAGGGCAACAACCTGTGACCCTGTGATCGTAAAGGACTGCGGTAGGTTCGTTCACTCACAATCAGGGATACAAACGCTTTTGAGCCCCCTCCCCCTTTCCCAAAACTGGAGAAGAGTAAGCACTTTAAACTCAAAAACGGGGGACTCCTGCCTCCCAACGAAAAAAACACCCACGCGTCAACCGCGCCCGCCATCGCCCGCCCGCCCCCCGCGAGAGCCCGAGCCCGATCCCGCGCCTCCGCGCGCAGGGCATCCCGGGCCTCCGCGGCGCCGCCGCGGCGGCGCCGCTCTTCGTCCAAGGCCGCCTTGGCCTTGCGGAGGTCCCTGGCAAGGCGCTTCCGGCCCCAAACCCCGCGGCTGGTCCCACGGGTTTCAGCGGAGAAGTCACGGAAAGAGGAGGTGGTACCTTTTTCCCTGGCGCTGTTTTTGGTCCGCGAGAGTTTTGGAGCAAAAGGAAAACCGCACGGTCTTTGACATGGTTCGAAAGACACTCTGGTGGAATCGCGGTGGATATGTGCAGGGGAAACATGGGGTGCCGAATGGTGCCAATATTGATACGGCTATTGTTTTCAAAGGGAACCTCAAAAGTGGGTCGACATGAATCCCCAAATTAAATGATGTCCACCAAAGGGTCGTTGGTCCCTTATAAGATTAATTCCCAGCTGGGTGTTTCTCAAAAGTGAAATCGGGCCCGAGCATGGCAAGGTTGCCTTTTGGCTCCCCTTAACACAGCATCCACAAACAGGTCTGCCTTGTTGAGACCCCCTCCATATTTGGCAGATTCATCCCAAAGGCCGAGTCACGCATCCAAAACCACGGACAACTCCAGGAAACCGGTTGCCTTTGTCAAACGGTTGGGACTTTGGGATGTGGATTTGAACTCCGTCATTGGCAGAGGGTAAGCCTAAAGAAGGCTCCCTCCAAGGCCTCTGGGAGGGGAAGACGGGTGCTGCAGGCATGGGACAAAGTCATTCATGCCTAAGTCATGCCACCATTAGTTTTCAACACCAAATCCCGACGGCGTGCCCCTTTGCTTTATTGTAGGCCCATGTGCTGTGTTGTGTTGATCTGGTTCAAGAGATCCAGGACCTCAATTTGAAATCCCAAAACGTGCGAGTTCTCATCAAGAAGAATCAACTATTCACAGACTTGGGCCAGACCAATTCAGGCATGTGTTCCTGCATGTCAGGAAAACCCGGCGCAGCGGTTCAATCAAACCTTGTGGATTGTTCAAGGTTTCACCCAAATGGATCTCTTTGTGGCTCTCAAACCTGGCCCAACAGGGCTACTCCACAAGCAATCGCGATTAGATTCTGCTCCATAGTCTTTAAGGTTAAAATATCAAGTACCATGGGTACGAATTTTCATGGGGAGAATGTATGTCCAGCAAACCCCTTAGGGGCCTACCCTCAACATTTACTTTTCGTCAACCTTCATAGATTCATGGCCATTTAGCTAACCTTCAAACCTGAGTGACTCACAACTTCCATTTGCTTTTCGACCCGTGGAAACAATAAGAACATATTTCCAGTCGTGAAATCGATTCCCTTCAAAACAATCCAGGGAAAAACAAAACCACTTCAGCAACGTGGGAGACGTAGCTCCGCCCCATTGGCACCCGCCCCCGACCGCCCGAGCCCCGAGCAACCGCCTGGTCATGGCCTCGCTCTTGGAGCGCTCCTCATCCAGACGCCGCCGGGCCAGCAGAAGCTCACCGGTGATCTTCGCTTTGCACCTCCGGTTTTCCCGAGTCTTTGGCGAGGCCGGCGAGACCCGTGCGTGGATTTTTGGGGTCTTGCTGTTTTTGTTCCTGCTTGTAGTATGTTGATGTGTTGTTTCGTTCTTCAGAAAATCGGGAATCCGGAATTTCTGAATTCCAAGGGATGGACAAAGATGCGACTTGTATAACTCGCCCGCTGTTTGCTGGAAGGTATTCAAAAGAACGGAGAAAGAATGGCTTGGGGAGCAAGTTCTAGAAATGGTGTATGTTTCTGGTGAAGGTCACTTTTGGCCCCAGCGGGGTCGGTTCGGCTGCCGCGCAACTGAATGTGACTTGGCCCCATCCATTTCCCTTGAACTCGCCACTGAGATGTGCCAGGGGCTCCAATAAACAAGCTCCAGCTTGCACCAAAGAACAAACATGTGTGAAGCAGCCGAAGCCTTAAGGAACGCATTTGATAGAACCTCACCGTGCTAGAAGGATGCGGGACGTAGCGGTAAGTTGTTGATTAAAGATGTCATTGGACATGTCAATACGATTTTACAATTCATGTAGTGTGCCAAAAGACATGCTGGATACTGTCCTGCGTAAGCACGTGACAAAGGCAGAGGATGTGATCGGACAATTGAGGACAGCTGACGTGCGTGGAGCTGAGTGAGTGGTCACAAGATGCCACAATCCAACCCTTTGCAACTAAAAAATGATCCCGAGACAGAAGCTTCTGCGGATGGAGTTGCCGAGATCCCAAATGGAGAACGCACGCTACTAGATTGCATCATGCAATGCGCCTTTGCCTACAAGACGATTGCTCGAGGAAATTACAGTATGAGCCCTGCTCAGCACGAGACCCGGAGCACCACCAATTGTTTGGTGCCAACCTACTTGGGCCAACCCCGATTGTTTAAACACTCTACTTTGGTTGCCCCTTTAAAGGTGGCCAGGGCATGGTTCTGTAAATAATTTTGCCGTACACATTTTGCATTTTGAGCCCCACACAGCGCCCCTGCACAAAATTTGTTCCAAACCTTCGAGGACCCCTGGGCCCTAAGAAGGTTCCTGAAGGAACCTTTGGGCTATGGGGAAAGTTAAACCATGTCCCCTCCCCCTTTTGGGTTCATTTGGTACCCGGTGAAACAATTTGTTCAAAACATGCGCAGAACAAACATGTGTTTTGTTTGGCACCCAGCTTGGCCGGGAAGGCGGGGGTTGTGCCGGTTGTGCCAGGCCGCTGCTGTTCCTGCATTAGCAGGTCGTGCGCAAAGCCCTCCGCGGTGGTGGCTGCGCGCGCGGGAGGCTTCGGAGCCGGAGAGAAGCTCTCCAGACCTCGGAGAGCTTGGCTTGAGGGAAACATGGGCCGTGGTTTTGAGGGAACCCCCCCATTTTTATTTTATTTTTAAGGGAAATTATGGTTTCCCGGGGACTTTCAAAAAAAGTAAGCCCCAAAAGGGTACCCTCAGACCATTCTAAAGGGATCCCTAGGTTGAGAAGATCCCACAGGGGTGTGCGTGTGCTTTTTGAGGGCACCCATGAAAAGAACCACCAAATATTTAGTTTATCTCTCCCATGGGCATGACTTAATTCGGTTTTATGGTACCCCGAAATCTCCGTTCTCATTTTTCAGCCCCTGATATTACCCTCTTTCCATCCACTATGGTTTGGTGAACCGGGGCCCAAACCCCTCGTAAGCAGTCTGAAGCATCCACTCGCCAGCTTCTATGGAGCTGCGGGCATGTCACGTAAACAGAATGCCATGTTCCTGGAAAGGAAGCCTGTGCAAATCCATGCTCGGTGGGAGGGTACATATGCCCTTTACACAAAGGTGCCCTCTACCCCCAGGTCAAATGGTTTGTGATAAAGTCATGGTTGGCTCACTGTGTACAGGGCCTCTGGGTAACAAGCATCATTGATGTTGATGCAAAGTATTTCTCGCCAATAACCTGAAGCTCATGGATATGGGGCTCAATTCTTATTCCAAGGTCTCAGCTTGCCCAAACGCGGCAAGGTACGTGCTGGTTATACGCATCCTTCGCAATCCATGATCCAAGGGAATGCCAGTCAATAAAGTCAGTGCTTTTGATTCTTTGAGCAGGGCTGCGGATCATGTCTCAAATGCCAAGCCTGCAACTTCAAGTCGGGGAACACGTCCAAGCCAGACAAAAAGAGGCACTCAGAGAAATACAACAAATAGCTTGGGAAGGAAACAAAAAAGACGACCCAGGGAGGAGTCAAACCTCCGTGATTGCTTGCGGCCGACGCCTCCCCTCCCTGAGCCTGGCGGATGGGACGCCTCGCTAGTGACCCCTGGCCACTGGAATGAACCCGCTGAATGTCGAGGCGATGCTTCAATCAGTCCCCACGCTTGTGCAATGTGGGCATGGCTAAAAAAATGGGAACCCTTGGGACGGATCTTTTGGTCCACACATTTGGCAAGACCCCATGATATCAGGGCACATCCAAGTCGGCGAACTCCCGATTCCAAAAGGGTGTGGGTCAAAAATATGTATCCAAAATGGCAACCAGGTAAATGAAACAAGGACTAAAACCTGCGGCCCCCTGGTTTAATTTGAACCCATACCCCAGCAAAGGTCGAAAGACGTTGCGCAGCCGCAAGCCACTTGGAGGTCTGGGCCGAAGAACCGACGCCATCGACCCAACTCTCCGCGACTTCGTTTCGCGCCTTCCGACACTCGGAACTGCACCCGTGGCGGCGGGGGCTCCACAGTGCCGTCCTGTGCGCCTGACAGGCGAGTCAGAGTCGCACAAAACCC